TCAATTAGAATTTTTTTACCTGGTACAGAACAAAAGGACCCGGTACAGTACTAAAAGGTAACGTTAGTCACGTCTACATGCAGGAGGGTGTCCCACTCCAGACTCTGCTTGTTTTATCTTTAAATTTTACAAGGACTGGAGCCAGCTCCAATAAGACTGAAACCAGGGTTGCGGCTGTAAGTTACTGGGGAGTTAAGTAAAGCTCTCTAAGCCCATGCTACCCTGGGTCCCTTGGGCAACAGAATGGAAGGAAGGACAAGTAATTATGAAAGGAAAGAAGGTCAGCATTAACAGTAATAAAAGTGTAAGTAAAAAAAAGGGTGAAGTAGTAAAAGCTTGTCTGAGATACTCAGAAAAGACAACACGTTTTAGCTAACGCTATTTTAGCACGATCTGGAACAAGATTAGCTCCTTCAGTTTTTGAAGGCTTCATTAAAAGTGCTGTGCCACCCCCTCCCAATTATCAATGTACAGGCAGGCTTTAGCCCCGTGATCTACGAATCCTGAGCTGCGTCATCACAGCACAAACCTCCCTATGGTCAGGTAGAGGGAGGGAAAGCTTCTTGATCTGGGCACTCTGGGGACAATGGTCAGAGCTGCTGGAAAGAGCCCAGCAGCCAGATACTTAAGTTAGAGCATATCTTACAGCTACAGTCTGACAGACACACCTTCCACAGACTGTCAGAGGAACAAAGAGAAAGAGGCTAATAAACAGGGAAGAGAGATTTCTTATTGCATTCTGCATAATTTTAACATAAAACTAATGTCTTGCTTAGTCTTACATTGGCAAACTGGAAGTTCGCTCCACTCAACTTCGTCTCCCTTTAACGTGCAGTCGATAAACGACTGCCCAACTAATATTCATACCTAGATTGGGTGGGGGGAGAAGAAAAAGGAGAGAGATGATCACGTTTCTTAACTAGTTTTTTTTGGTCACACATATACTTGTCTAAAAAAATTACAAGGCATCTTTTGGTCCATACAAAGCCTAACCAGAACAATAGCCTGTTGTTATTTCCCAGGCCCAGGCAACGCTATTCATGTGACTGTGGACTCCAGAAACTCGTGTGCAACTCAATGAAAGTGCATCCCACTCCATTATCCAAGGTGAACAAAGCCAATGGTTGCTTGACACAATTCTGAGTAACTAGTTACTGAGGAAGGGACAAATATTTGAGAACAGACACAAGTCAGCAAAGAACAGACACAAGTCAGCTTTCACTTGGGGCAGCGCTTTTGCAAGGGCAGCAAACTGTCAGGCAATCCAACAGCACCTGAAAAGGCACCAAGACTGATCAAAAGCAGCTCCTGAAAACTGCCATTGTTTGGCCTGGACAAGGCCTGCCTTGCCGTCTAGCCGCCCACTGAGATGTCCAACGTTGCTTTTGTTGACAATATTAGCAGCTCAATCTCCTTCTCGGCTTGGGTTTCTTGGACCTGCCGAGTGTTTTTCCCCTGATGTATGTGCTTGATGCAACAGGGGTGAGACATGGTGCTACTTCCCCAACAGCGGACCAAGGGAATTAATTGGAAAATGGCTTTTTTTGATGGGACTCGAAGGACAGCAGCCAAAACACACTCCTTACAGTGGGGCGGAGGGAGGCGTGGTGCGGCACAGTGTATAATGAGAAAGAGACGGATTCCAAAGATAAAGAAATCATTTTACAGTGAATCAGAGAACTAGAATATTAATTGGGCAGTTCAGGATCCTTAAGAAAGGCCTATGCCCTGATTAAAACCATGCACACAATGCGACAGCCAAGTTACAAACAGATGGAATATATGGTTCACAGAAGAGTTTTTGTAGCTTTAATTTTCTATTTTTTAAAAAAGCTGCCAGTAAATGTGTGTAGATGTTCAAGCAATACTCCTTCCCTTCAAAAATCCCAGGAAGGAGTACACTCATTTTTTCATGATGGATTTGTCTAGGTTTACTTTACAAGAGGACAAAAAAATAAGCCAAGCCAGATGACATCACGATGTATAAAAGTTTTAAAATATTTGTGCCAGTCGTGGTTTCAGATAACACGACATCTGCAACTGAACTGCACTCAAGGAGGACACTGCAAGCTTTAAAACATCCCATAAAGATTTCCACAAAAACAGGTTCTTCCCACTGCAGGCCAGGGGAATAGGGGCTGTGACCACACCTTCCTGTAGCTGTACCCCAGCTGCAGCTGAACTGGGCGTCACTGTCCTCAGTGTTATACTTGTAACGAGGAAGGCTACAAGATGCAATTAAATAGTGACGTGGGATTATCCCAAACTATGGTGGATGCAAAATGAAAGAAGCCCGAGTTCATACCTCACTCTGGATTCATGCCACAGGCCAATCCTAGTCGACGCAGCTGCAAATGGATCATTTACATTTAAAGCAGACAAATGAAATAGTGTTCATACAAAATCATTCCCTTTTGTGCTGTTGCTATAGAAACTGTTACGCTATATAAATCATGGGACATTCAGGCTTGGGCAGGTCTTTATTACATCACTACATCCTTATTACCCATCCACTCCCACAGCTGGGCCTTCTTCCTTCCCACCCCAATTTAACACTCAGCTGGGACGATGGAATCATACATTACACTCTGCTAACCTTGGCTTAAAGAGTCTGCTTCCAAGTGAGGACCCAGCCTATCGCTGTTGATTCAAGGGTGCTATATTTCTGAAGTCAGGCCAGGCCTTATTATCCAGAGACCGCCAGCAGTTTGTAGACCAGAACTCTGCTATTTAAAGCCAAAGTCCAACACTTACCCATCCTTGCAGAAGGGGTTTACTTTTGCACCAAACAAATAATCTGTTTTAACAACAGCTCTGCCATTGGGTAGTTCCCTTGGAGGACCACATGATTTCCCTTGCAGAGAGTAAGGGTAATGTAGCAGGGCACTAAGGTGCCTGCTACTGGGAAAGCCGGAGTAGTGGACACACACCTGTTTGGTCAGCTGAACGGAAGGGGCAGGG